TGTGTACTAGTATTTTTGACTTATTCTCTAAAAATGGCTAAATGAACAGAATCCACAATAATACTAAAAGCTCCTTCACTGATTGGTAAGGTTTTTTTACATTATTAATATATGTGCAATTGTGTACGTTTAGGTGCGTTAGTACGATTTTTATTTAACTTACCTAATGTAGTGAAGTCACACATTTACAGTAGGTTGTTGCAGATAACTGAAACAGATAATACATAGTTTAAAAAACACTCGAACACATTTTAACTATTTAATTGCGTATAAATTTAGCTTGTAAGTTCCTCAAGTTCCCAACTTTATTACTTATTTAAAAACCAGAAAATGTATGGCAAATAATTTAGTAAAATCATTAATATACAAGTATCCAGTATCGAATACGAGTAAAAGTATTTTGATACTGCACATTGGAAATTTAATATTACATTAAATATAAGAATGCAATTGGATGAAATATTGTAAATCAAAAATTATCGTACATTTAATATGTATGTATAAATACAGAGCCGAGAAAATTTCGTAAATTCCCAAGTCAGCAAGATAAAGTTTAAAATTAATTATTTAGAAGTAAACTAGTAAACTAAATTTGTAGAATTTCCAAAAATGGAATGAAAAGAAATGATGTGGTTGTGGCTCATGAGTATCCATCTTATTTCATTCCATGTTCATCGTAAGAGGCAACTATGGTAAAATTTAAAAAAATATTATAACATTGCGTTTACGTCAGTTAGCGTAAACGCAATATTATACGATGTGAACCTCCAAAGCGGAGAAAGGCATCAGCCACGCGTCTGCGACAATTAAAGCTAATCCTCCCTACAGCGTGAGAGGCATATGTACAGCAGCGAATTTTGCTGATGATGAAGAAGAATAAATAAAGAATCTTATATCAATATGTAATAATATGTGAACCCTCAGAGCGGCGAAAGGCATCAACGTCAATGGTCCTAGACGTCTGATACTGTGATTTTAAATCCGCTTGCCACGCGTCTGCGACAATTAAATCGAATCCTCCCTACAGCGTGAGAGGCATATGTACAGCAGTGAACTTTGCTGATGATGAAGAAGAATAAATAAAGAATCTTACAACAATATGCTATAATATGTGAACCCCCAGAGCGGCGAAAGGCATCAACGTCAATGGTCCTAGACGTCTGATACTGTGATTTTAAATCCGCTTGCCACGCGTCTGCGACAATTAAAGCGAATCCTCCCTACAGCGTGAGAGGCATATGTACAGCAGCGAACTTTGCTGATGATGAAGAAGAATAAATAAAAAAATACTTACTGCAATATTCAGAGCACAACGAGCGTACTGATGTACTTGATAGACTGCTGTGATTATTTTCCTCTCTTTGATTTGCTTCGTTTCTTTCTTTAGACTTATGCTCAATAATCTTCTCCAAAGCTTCGAATGATTCGACTATGCGTTTGATAGCAGCTGCCCGCTCACTTGATTCCTTTTCAGATTCCAAATTAGGCTCTTTGGGAATCTCCATATTCGTTTGATCTCTTACTTGTGTTTGTTGTGATAAAGAAACTGGTCTTTGCTCATTTACTGTTAAGAGCGGTACGTAAGGAACAACAATGATGTTTTGTAAGGGTTCTGGTGACCATCCATTGAAGTTGGAGAAATTTTGGTTGCCTAAATGTAGAAATTGAGACGGTTTTTTTAACACGTAAATAGGACCCATATTACTATGAGGTCTATTTCTTGAGGTTATCTTTAATAAATTGCTGGAGTTGTACGAGTAGATATTTGTTGTCCTAGGTACCAGAAGTGGTGATCGAATTATACGATTTGTACTTGGGTACCCTAGTCTCGTAAATGCTTGAAGGTTATTTATTTGTATAGGTGCCAATTTTATAGTGTTATTACGCAGAATTCGAACAGGTTGCTGATTTGAGTTGTGGCTAACTGGCAACTGCAATATCGGTGATTGGTATGTCAATCCATTATAAATGACCTGTGTTTGAGAAGTAGTTATAATTGGTTTCGTCATAGTGCTCGTTACCAATAACATTTGAGGTTTATTTTGGGAAGATTTAATGTGATCTTGCATTGTTAAAATATCTATAGAAGTTCCCTTCCGTTCCTGAAAGGAAGAATATTGAGCAGCTGTAGAACTCAACGTCTGAGATGATATCGAATTCGTTTTCCTCCGTCTAAATGGGAGATTATCTTTATTTACCCACTGTGAATAATGCAGTCGTTTTTATCATTATCAGTCTTATATATTTTTTTCTAAGTGTCTATTCACGTTCTTCCTTGGTACCTATTAAATAAACATATTTAATTTTATATCATCTTTCATTAAAAGCGCAAAGAACTTAAAACTTTTAAAATAAAAATTTGTGGCTGACAACTTATCCGTCTCTTATAGGTAAAATAAGGTATTTTTAATTATTTAACTTAATTTTAAATTAAATTTTTAGTATAGTCGCCTGATACAAAAATTATGGTGCGAGATCAATTGTCCGTGAGAGAACTAGCTCCGTTCCGTTGCCGTCGTTGTCATTACGAAGAATGAAATATTTATGTACAGCAGGAGTCAAATCTCAGCAATGATCTGTTGTTGTTTACGTATAATGAAATTGTAAAGTTCTACATTGTGTTATTAGCGTCAGTTTCGTTACATGAAGTTTCAAGCGTAAGTAAAATGCTTAGATATTATTTGTAAAGTAGACCGTACCTTAAGTAGTTGATAGAACATCTATGCAACGTACGCTCGAAAAAACGAGTTTCTGACTAAACGAGAACCGCTGTTCTAATATTTCAAATTTTTTTTGTTTGAAAAATATAACTTATGTTCTTGAGATTCATTAAAGGAACCGTTGACGAACTCTTACATGATATTTTAAATGTTTTCGAAAATAAAAATTAAAAATTACAAAATTAAACTCATGTTGGTGACTAGAAGTTAAAATGTAATTGAACAATAATAACACACTTCAAATTCTAAATCCTATTCAAAATAACTTTATGGGCAATGGGTTCGTTTTCTAGATTGTGGAATAAGTTTAATTCTTAAAATTTGGAATAGAAAAATATTTTTCTTTTAAAACATAACATATTACAATTTTGCCCTGAAAAGTCTTTGCTTACGAACAGTCATCCGTAATTAGAGTAACCGATATACAAGCTGAAATGACAAAAAAGTCTACAACCGGCGTGCAAGAAGAGTTCTCGCCTGGCGGAATCGTATCGTTAAACCAAGTGTAGTACAGTGAAAGAATATCCACTGCTCCATATCGATCCGTGGGTGTCGTAGGAGGCTAAGAGTGAAACACAAGGGTGTGTGCAGCAGCATTGTCCTGCTAACAACAAATAAAAATTGCAGTTGCCAACGGGCCGGTCAAACGTGACAACTATGTTAATTAAGGGCCGTATGGGCCCTTATGGGCAGCAGTAGCATGAGTCAATAGATGCAGGTGGCCCAGGACCGTGTTTTGCATCGTTCATTTATGAAGTTTATGTTGAGCAGTGGATAAGTGAAAGTCTGTAATGATTATCATCATTCATGATGATCCATAATTTTTATTTATATACTTGGATATCTCTTACAAACTCTTTAAGATTTTTTTTAAATATTTAATATAAAGTAAATGGTCTTTGATTATCCTGGATTTAAGTAGTGCCAAATTAATAGATCCTTTTCAGGTGAAGACAGTGCGAGTCGCCATTATATAGTAAATTTGTAGAAAAGTCGTGTCTGTAAGTCTTATAATTTATCATAATTACAGAAATTATCTGCGAGAAAGACTCAATAGTTAAACAATCGAAATACACGTATATGACTCACGAGGACTGTGTAACGGTTAATAATGTGCCTAAATAGAAGTTCACGTAAGCACAAATGTGGATAAAAAACTAGTTGTAAATATAAATTAAAAAATTACAAAATAATAAACTTTACCAATAATAAAAAGTTATTGTCGTATGCCACCTTGAAAAGCACCGATAGAACAAGCGACATAATATACGATTTCGAGAGCGAAGTGTACATGTATTATATTGTTAAGCATGCAGTAAACAATATCCCATTCGTTTCAATTGACACCTAAATTTACCATCAGTGACAAATCAAAACATTGATTCGTTGTCCCCCTTAAGGAATAATATGAAATGCCCCGTTACAAGTGAAAAGAGTGTTCAGTCGTCAACACTCACCATACGAAACATAGCAGCATTATGTTGTTCATTCTGTGAGGGCGTGGTTCTTCCCCGGTCGAGCAGAGGCATTCATGTTGCAGCTATAATACTCGTACAGCTGTACGTGTCTCAACAACGTGGAAGTGCCACATTTACTTGTACGATTTTTCATAAGTGGATGTATGTGGATGACTGGATGTGTTGGCGTGGGATTTTAACTCACCCAGTGGATTTCATATCAATAAGAATGAAAAATAAATATTTCTAGTAAATATTTGGACTAGCGGAACTTCTTCAAATATCATTTATTTAATACTGCTGGTACCCGGCGCTTTAGTGTTAAGAAATGGTTGTGAAAACGTGGTTTTAAATTTGAAAAAAGTTATGTTGTTTCATTAGTAAGGACATTCATTGAATGATATACAAATTTCAAGTAAATTTAGCTGTACGATACGCAAACCACCTAGTGTAATCAATTGTTAATTGTACTATGCCTATAACTTTCGCGCAAGTGCAAGCAATAAGTTGACAAAGTTTGACCGCAATTTGATGAATTACCATTCAAGGCAGCGCATAAAATACGAACAAACAAAAAGTATTTTTTTATATGGGGTTGTTGATATTCTTACCTCATCACTACACGGATGATGGTGAAGTTAATTTTACTTTGATCAACTTAAAACTTTATAAAAAATATTACATTTTATATTTTTTAAATAACCTCGAGTATTGAATATGCGTTTGTATGTGTGTGTTTTATTTAATCAATACCTAACATGATATGTTTTGTGTTGATTATTTGACATGTGTTAATTTCTAGACACAATGTTATTGAAAATTTTATATTTATTTTGTCAAAATAATGAAATTGCTTTTGTGGCATATTTTAAAATATAAATAAAATATATTTGTGAAGAAGATGTCGCGCGAACACTAATATTTTTATAGGCTAAGTTTTATTTGCAATTATATATATATATATATATATATATATATATATATATATATATATATATATATATATATATTATAGTTTAAAGCAATAACACAATGTAGAGCAGATTTTTAGCGTCTTACAAATATTATTTATAAATATTCAACACTACGATTTTTTTAATACTAGCAATGCTATTCTCATTACTAATATTCCCTGTAACCACTTCTGATGAGCTTAAAATTTGTGTGTTAGGAGTGGTACACGACAGTAGTCGAATGGTGGATTCGACCCACGACTTTTTGAGTTCGGGGTCAGCAATCTGCCATTAGGCTCCTGACGATGTTGACAAAAATTCTTTTGCAACGCAATTATGAGTCTTTCCTAACATAAATACTTACATTAGCACACTATCCTGTCATCCAGAGGGGTAGGCAGAGACTACGGACTTCCATTTGGCACAATCCTGACACAACTTTCTCGCTTCCTCCATATCCATATACCTACGCATGCATGCTCGTCCATAACTTTCAATTTCATTTCAATTTTCGATATTACCAATTTGGTCGATATACTTTCACCTAGGGCCTCCCTTCCCGACTGTGCCGTTTGCTTTCTTAACATAATGTTGATTAATCATTCATTCATTCATAAAAATTAACATTATTGCGCTTAGAACCCACGTAATAGAACCTAACACAGTTCATAAAATATAATATAATAATTCTTCTGTGTATACACAGAGGAATACAAAAGTAAGCTACAGGAAGTCTTCATGATTAAAGATTTAATTAATAGAAAAGATAGCAATGTTCGACTCCAGAAAATTAGCCTATATCGCTAAGCACATTTCAATTATTATCGCTAAGAACTTTTTAAATAAGTTTTTTTATGAAATAACATTTAATTAAAAAATATGGTAGTTTGTGAAGCTAGAAAAGTTTGAAAAGTTACATACATTAAGTTATCACGCATCATTAATTAAGACAATTGTAATCTATCTAGACATCCTTTTTGAATTTAAAGTTAAATAAATAACTTAATTCGTTTCATTTGAGTCCTAAAATACTTACTCTTTTTACAATATATCGATATAAAAACCTGTTAACACGAAAATTTTCACCGTTCTGCAATAAAGTGCACAGGTACAGCTTCCGAATGTTCGGCTCGAACTGAATCCTGGGAAAGGGATAGCTGCTGAATCTATATTTATTGCTCGCATACGTATTGCACTTTATGAAAATAAATTTCCGTAAGGTACTGTAAATACTAACTTTACAGCGGGATTTAAAGTTCAAATTCTAATGAATAAAAATTGACACGTTATAACGTCACACAGGGATGAGCGTACGTTGATTGCGTACATGTTACTCTTAGTAAATAAACAATTTAATAGTGGTAGGCACAAATAAGAAATATTTAGAAAATTATATTTTTCCAAAACGTATTTAAAATTTGTAGTGCATTTTTAACATTTTCTGTAAAAATTAGATTAACAACATGATATCAAAAATACGTTAAGATTTTGTTAATGTGAAACCTATCACAAGATAATATTGTAATGATTTGAGTAGCAAACGAGTTCAAAATATGCGACTTTTACCCCGTTAAAGCAACTTAAATATTTAAGCACCCGAATGTAATGTCATTTTAGCTTTATTAATAGAATGTGGTCAGAGACCACAACTAATACAAAAATTACGCAAAATTAGTTTTAAAGGCCTTCTGTGTAATGATTTAATGTTTTTTAATTAGGTTTTGATGTTTGAATTTAAATTAGTATAAAAAGGACTAGAAATTAAAAAAAAAGTTAATCATAACTGTTTTTACAGAAAGTTCTGATGTTCAATAGAGACTAAATATAATATGTAATATTAGAACTGCGACCATTTTTCATTATTTAAGAGCGCATCAATAAAGAGGTAATATATAATCATTATTTTTAAGTGCTGGTGTTTTTTATTCTGTGGTAATAG